CTATGAGAGGCAGCATATTCTCATGGGCAGAGCATGCTAGTGATCTGTCATTTAACCTTTGGGTACTTCAGTTTCTCTACCTGTAAAATGGAAATAAAATCTTCTCTTCTTCTCTTACCTCTCCTTGATTATGTACATGGGAAAATGTGATACATAATGTATTTGTCAAGATTCTTGATAGAGAGTAATAGAAATTGGCTTAAGTAGGAAAATAAAGATTATTTGTTGGTTCATGTATCTGGAGAATGTAAGGGCTGAACTTAAGGTACAGCTGGATTCAGGGCCTCAAACAATTTCCTCAGGATACCCTGTCTTCAACACACACCTCTGTTTTCCGTGTTGGTTTCATTCTTGTGGAGACCCTCCCTATGAGGTGGTAAAACAGCCACTTACATGTCCAGCTGTACATTCTATTACCTTGAACACCCTCATGGAAAGATACCTTTTCTTTAGAAGTTCCAACAGAAGGATAGGAAAGGACGGTTGCCTATAAGAAAATCAGGGTATTGTTTTCAGAAGAAGGGGAATTGCTGCTTGGCAGGCAAAGACTAACAAATGTCCATTACATATAAATTCAGAGTTGTAGAGTGTAGCAGACACAACTGGTTGAATGCCCAATATCCGTTTTCTCCCACCATTCTTAATATAAGCTTGGTTTTGTTCGGGTATCTGCCTCTTCCCTGCAACCATATACCTGAAGGAAAACTAGCCCCAGCCCCTGAATCCTGATTGGACCCAAACAATCAGGAGTTCCATTCCCCTTGCCAGTGGTTGGCTTATGAGCACGTGATCCAGTTCAGGACAGTGAGATGAGAGGGGAAGCTTGCAGGCCAGGAGACTTCTCGGACAATTTTTCTTGTACTTAAAAAGAAACGTAAAGGAAGAGCTTTTTCCCTCAGCTGGCTGTTGTTGGGTACATATGTGATGGATCTTGATGTGCCAGTCATCTTGGAACCATATTAGCCCAAGGGCAATGCTGACAGTCAGGATAGTAGAGAAGAAAGACAGAGAAAAAACTGCATCCTTGTCAAAGTCCAGGCACTGACGTAACCAACCATGGTCATTTTGTTATGTAAGATCATACTTTTCCTTATTGTTTAAGCCATTTTTAGGTGGATTTTTAATTATTGGAGACTGGAAAGCATCCTAAATAATAAGTGGAGATATCGTGGGTTGCTCAGTCAGAAAAAAACTGTTGGAGAACTACATAGTTTCACTGGAACTAGCACTGTGCCTTGTACATACTTGAAGCTCAATAAATACTTGTTAGCTAGATGTGGTTCTCTTATACTTGTATTTGTTATTGAAATTTAAAAAAATAAAGCACCTTTCATTTCCTTGTCTGACAATTCTGTACAAAAGTCATTAGATGAGGCTAAGCATTGTAGGTGTCTGCGAGTGGGCACTATGGCCAGCATAGGACGTTGGCGCCCAAGCAGGGTGAGGAGGGCGTTTATATGGGGGGATTGGGCTGGAGCAAGATGTTGGAGCCTGAGTAGGTTGAGGAGAACATCCATATGGGGAGTATAGTGGTGGCAGAGACCCAGCACAGGGTGAGGAGGGAGTCTTTGTAGGGGTGAAGGACAGCCTAATATAGGGTGTTAGAGTTTGAGGAAAGTGAGGAAGGTGTCCACACAGGGCGACACTGGCCCAGGCAAGGTGTCAGAGCCTGAGTGAGGTGAGGAAGGTGTCATATGCTTATACTATTCTGGCAGCTTTTCTGTAACTTTTTAATCATATGTTTCCCCAAAATGCACCTGTATTTCATTTTTTAAACTGTCAGAGTTAACATTCTGCATGCCTCTTGTTACAATATGAAACTATTATTTATTTGACTATATCAATGAAATTCTCAAAGACATGTCTGTTGATTAAAGCAAGTTTGCCCTCCCACAAGTCAGCTTATTTACTATAATGCATACATTTCATTAATTATAATCAATCTGCTTTTCTTGCTTTGATGCTGAAAGCCATGCCACTGATATTTCAAATGACAGCAGGGTCACCCATGGTGGACAGGTTTCAGAGGGGCTTCCAGACTAAGACAGACGAGGAAGGAGGACCTGGCCGTCTACTTCTGAAAAAATTGGCCAGTGAAAACCTTATGAATAGCAACAGAACATTTTCTGATATAGTACAAGAAGATGACCCCTCAGGTTGGAAGGCACTCAAAATACAACTGAGGAAGACTTGTCTCCTCAAAGTAGAGTCGACCTTAATGACGTGGGATGGAGTAAAGCTTTCGGGACGTTTGTTTGCTAATGTGGCATGACTCAAAATGAGAAGAAACAGCTGCAAACATCCATTAATAATCAGAACATGGAATGTATGAAGTATGAATCCAGGAAAATTGAAAGTCAAAAATGAAATGCATAAAGATCGATATCCTAGGCGTTAATGAGCTGAAATGGACAGGCATTGGCCATTTTGAATCTAACAAGCATATGGTCTACTATGCCTGGAATGACAAATTGAAGAGGAATGGTGTCGTATTCATCATCAAAAAGAACATTTCAAGATCTATTCTGAAGTACAGTGCTGTCAGTGATAGGATAATATCCATACGCCTACAAGAAGGCCAGTTAATATGATTATTATTCAAATTCACACACCAACCACTAACGTCAAAGATAAGGAAATTGAAGATTTTTACCAACTTCTACAGTCTGAAATTGATCAAACATGCAATCAAGATGCATTGATAATTGCCGATGATTGGAATGTGAAAGTTGGAAACAAAGATGAAGGGTCAGTAGTTGCAAAATATGGCCTTGGTGATAGAAACAACACTGGAGATCACATGATAAAATTTTGCAAGACCAACAACTTATTCATTGGAAATATCTTTTTTCAACATCATGAGCCGTGACTGTACACATGGAGCTCGCCAGATGGAATACACAGGAATCAAATCAACTACATCTGTAGAAAGAGATGATGGAGAAGCTCAATATCATCAGTCAGAACAAGACGAGGGGCTGACTATGGAACAGACCATCAATTGCTCATACGCAAGTTCAAGTTGAAGCTGAAGAAAATTAAAACATGTCCACAAGAGCCAAAGTACAACCTGGAGTGTATCCCACCTAAATTTAGAGACCATCTCAAGAATAGATTTGACACATTGAACACTAGTACCTGAAGACCAGATGAGTTGTGCAAGGACATCATACATGAAGAAAGCAAGAAGTTATTAAAAAGACAGGAAAGAAAGAAAAGACCAAAATATGGATGTCAGAAGAGACTCTGAAACTTGCTTTTGAACGTAGAGTAGCTAAAGCAAATGGAAGAAACAGTGAAGTAAAAGAGTTCAACAAATTTCAAAGGGCAGCTCGAGAAAACAAAGTAAAGTATTATATTGAAATGTGCAAAACCTGGAGTTAGAAAACCAAAAGGGAAGAACATGCTCAGCATTTCTCAAGCTGAAAGAACTGAAGAAAAAATTCAAGCCTGGAGTTGCAATATTAAAGGATTCTACGGGGAAAAAAATTGAACAATACAGGAAGCATCAAAAGAAGATGGAAGGAATACACAGAGTCACTGTACCAAAAAGAACTGGTCAACATTCAGCCATTTCAAGAGGCAGAATATGATCAAGAACCGATGGTAATGAAGGAAGAAGTCCAAGCTGCACTGAAGGCATTGGCGAAAACCAAGGCTCCAGGAATTGACAGAATACCAATTGAGATGTTTCAACAAAGGGATGCACTGCTGGAGATGTTCACTCTTCTTATGCCAAGAAATTTGGAAGACAGTTACCTGGCTAACCGACTGGAAGAGATCACATTTGTGCCCATTCCAAAGAAAGATGATCCAATAGAATGCAGAAATTATTGAACAATATCATTGATATATACAAGTAAAATTTGCTAAAATAATTCAAAAGCGGTTTCAGGAGTACATTGTCAGAAATTCAAGTCAGACTCAGAAGAGGACGTGGAACCAGGGGTATCATTGCTGATGTGAGACGGATCCTGGCTGAAAGCAGAGAATACCGGAAAGATGTTTACTTATGTTTTATTGACTATGCAAAGGCGTTCAACAGACTATGGATAACATTGGGAAGAATGGGAATTCCAGAACACTTAATTGTGCTCTTGCAGAACCTGTACATAGACCAAGAGACAGTCATTCGAACAGAACAAGGGGATACTGTGTGGTTTAAAATCAGGAAAGGTGTGCATCAGGGTTGTATCCTTTCACCATACTTATTCAATCTGTATGCTGAGCAAATAATCCAAGAAGCTGGACTGTATGAAGAAGACCGGGACATCAGAATTGGAGGAAGGACTTATTAACAACCTGCAATATGCAGATGACACAACCTTGCTTGCTGAAAGTGAAGACAATTTGAAGCACTTACTGATAAAGATTAAAGACTACAGCCTTCAGTATGGATTACACCTCAACATAAAACAAAAATCCTCACAACTGGACCAATAGTCAATATCATGATAAACGGAGAAAATATTGAAGTTGTCATGGATTTCATTTTACTTGGATCCATAATCATTGCCCATGGAAGCAGCAGTCAAGAAATCAAATGATGTATTTATTGCACTGGGCAAATCTGCAGCAAAAGACCTCTTTAAAGTGTTGAAAAGCAAAGATGTCACTTTGAGGACTAAGGTACGCCTGACCCAAGCCATGGTATTTTCAGTTGCCTCGCATGCATGCGAAAGCTGGACAATGAATAAGGAAGACTGAAGAAGAATTGATTCCTTTGGTGAAGAATATTGAATATACCACGGACTGCCAGAAGAATGAACAAATTTGTCTTGGAAGAAGTACAGCCAGAGTGCTTCTCAGAAGCGAGGATGGCGAGACTTCATCGCATGTACTTTGGACATGTTATCAGTTTAGACCAGTCCCTGGAGAAGGACATCATGCTTAATAAGGTAGAGGGTCAGCAAAAAAGAGGAAGACCCACAATGAAATGGATTGACACTGGCTGCGGCGATGGGCTCAAACATGCAATGATTGTGAGGATGGCGCAGGACCGGGCAGTTTTTCGTTCTGTTGTACATAAGGTTGCTGTGAGTCAGAACTGACTTGACAGTATCTAACAACAACAACATTTGTTTTCATCTGTCTTATAGAAAATGTTTTTCATTTAAGTTTTCAGTGGAGTAGAACTAAAGCATTAAATTTTCTCACAATTGTTCCATAATACTTTTTTTAAGTTTCAAAGGAATCTGCTAGAAATTGTCATGGTACTTTTTTTAATTTTCGAAGGAATCTGATAGAAATTGTCTTTTGAGGAAAAATAATCGGCTCACTGGAGTACTTCTTGAATTCTTTGATTTTTGTGAACAAAATTATCAGCTCACCATGAATACCAACACAACAGCACAGTACGGATGCAATCACTTAGCAAATGTGATTAGGTAGTCAATATTAGCCCCACTTTATTGGTGATAAAAATATGGCAAACCTTAGTTTCCACTGTGATCTTCAGACAGAACTAGAGCCAGGTTGATTGTTCCAAAGCCCAGAGCTGTGTGCTGTCCATTAAAGGTGCTTTTATGGAAGTGAGGAATGGAGAACACTAGAACCAGAAGAAAGAAAAGTAAAATAGTACCTGATTCTTGGAAGTTTTTCTTCAATTACATCATTTTAACAAAAGCTTTCAGTATCTAGAAATGTCAGTCACTTAAATTTTACTTAATTTAATGAGACTGAGGAGGTATAATACTTCTTAACTAAGTGCCAGTCTTAGGTGACTAAGCTGATAGGTTACATATTCACTGGAGGTGCTAAAGGGTATATTGAGTGAGAGAGCACTGGTGATTCTGGTTCTGTGATCTTATTGAGTCTAGCCTTTGCTCTTCATTAGCTACAAATTTGAACCAGTTTATTACAGTGAAACCTGTGAGAGGCAGAACTTGACAGAATTGCGTTGTTTTTCTGGGTCCCACAAGTTTTCTGCCTTTGACAGGGTACAGTCTTACCACTTTTCTGTTGTTCTCTATTAGTGGAAAATATTTAAGTTTTCCTTCTCTGGCAGGTTTCCACCTTATGCAGGTTCTTGCTTTTGCAGATTTTATTGTATTTGGCTCTTATTTCCAGTTTCTTGTGACTGTGAATTCCAAGGCTTATTAGGAATAGACTCATAGCGACTCACAACAGCAATCGGTTTGGTTTTTTTGGTTTTTGATTAGGAATAGAACCACCCATTGCCATTGAGTCTATTCTGACTCATAGAGATCCTATAGGACGGAGTAGATAGAGCTGCCCATAGGGTTTTCAAGGCTGAAATTTTTGCGGAAGCTGACTGCCACATCTCAACCCAGCAGAGCAGCTGGTGGGTTCTATCTGCCAACCTTTCGGTTAGCAGCTGAGTGCTTAACCGCTGCACTACCAGGGCTCTTTAGGAATAGAACAGTTAGGTATTATCTTAGTTCTCATTATTGCCTTGATTGGCTGGCTGGTTGGTTCTTAAGTACTTGTTGCTATATAGTGGGCCAGAATTTATCCCCTCCATAGTTTTTCATTATTTTGAAGTTCTCACTCATTTTTCCCTTTCCTTACCTAGAAACTTTTTTTTTTTCCATAATTTATTTGCTCCAGTAACATTAACTCATTCAGTAATTGGTAAAGCACCTATGCTTTACTCTGGATAATTCAGGATAATATGTTGTTGTTGTTGTTAGGTGCTGTTGTGTCAGTTCCAACTCATAGCGACCCTGTGTACAACAGAACAAAACACTGCCCGGCTGTGTGCCATCCTCACAATCGTCGTTATGCTTGAGCCCATTGTTGCAGCCACTGTGTCAGTCCATCTCGTTGCGGGTCTTCCTCTTTTTTGCTAACAGTCTACTTTACCAAGCATAATGTCCTTCTCCAGGGACTGGTCCCTCCTGATAACATGTCCAAAATATGTGAGACGAAGTCTTGCCATCCTTGCTTCTAAGGAGCATTCTGGCTGTACTTCTTACAAGGATAATATGTGAATACATGTAATTATAATTCAAGTAAGAATATGATAAATACAAGAAAGATGAAAGAACATGAATTTAGGAAAGGAGAGCTCACACCCAGTTGGCGGAGTTCAGAGACTTTGAGATTTTGATGATTTTTCTTCCTGAGAAGTAGGAACCATGTCCTTGATGAAAGAGGGTCAAAGCAGAATATGTTTTTTGATTGAGACATTTCCCTGGGACACGGTGCTAAGAATAACTTGAAATGGTTTGGAATTCTGAATTGACTCTTTCAGATCCTGGTAGCCAATATATGAGAAAAGAAAAATTGAAGTATCTGGAGTTCTAACAGTTGACAGTTCCCCCAACTAGCAGAGGCAGAAATTGCTGTCAAGGACCCCTGGGGGAAGAAAGGCAAGCGAGGGCTGAGTTCAGTCCAACCTGAGCTTCATATGTAATGAAATCTTTTTTTTTTTTTCTAACTAGCGTTGCAATAGTCTTCTTTATAATTTAAAATCCAAAGTCTATGTTAATGGCCTCTGGTTGAGGTAGGTTCCAGGGCAATGCTCATTAAATCAGAAATTCAATGGGAATGTTTTATTTAAATTTGCTTTATTCAGTAAACTGATGATGAGGAATGAGAAGAAGCCTTGAGGAATACCTTCTAGAAGGGGTTAGGGTTTTTACTGCAGACAGCATAAGAACTAGGACCTGGGGCATGCTGTCAGTATGTATTAGTGATAAACACCAGTAATAGTCTTGTATTCCCCAACGATTTGGAATTGTACTTTACTTTTGCTTTTGTGATTATTTGATTGCCTCCTTCATCAGACTGAAGCAAGGGTTGGATCTGTTTTATCCTCAACACCTAGCACAGTGTCTGACACATAGGAAACTCTTAAGAGCAATTTTTTTGAATGAATGGCATGTAGGTCTGAAGGATCAAGTCCCATCTTTCTGTGGCAGATTCATTTTGAGGAATCTAAGAGTGTTAAGAGTCTTCTAGAAACAGATTTTGCTTTTCTCACACTAGCTTTTTTAATATATGAAACAAAAATTGGTTATTTTACAACCCGTGGTCCACCTTTTGTTTACATTTATTTTGCCTTATTTATTCAATAACTATTATTATCATTTGGTCTTGATTTTAATCTGTGTAAGGACAAGAACTGTATCTTTTGAATTATTTTGCCTAATGCTCATATATCATCCCTTTATGAAAATATAATGGGACTAGTTCATGTAAAATAGAATGGTTTAAAAAGTAGATTTTTTTTTTTTTTTAAGTCCCTGGAGAAATGTTTTTAATATTTCTTATGTTTTACTTCTCTGAAACTGTTTGAAACTCTTGGCTTATACGGGCCAAAAAAGAGTATTTAGGAACCCAGTGTTGATTAATTATTAAGTTATCTATGCAGTGCAGTTGCTATGAAGGCTGAGGGTCAGCTGGTTATATTTACACAATACGTAATTGTCCGAGTATCTGTTGATGGCCACTTATTTCCAAGTGAATTACGCATACCCATTGTTCAATTCTGTGGCTCCTCAAAGGTATGAAAATTGGTATTATCACTTTATAAAAACTCAGTTCATTGGTATAGTCTCTGTGGAAGTACTTACTTCAGACTGATAGTGAGTATGCACATGTGTATATATTATGCACGTAGATACAACTGTAAGCCACTTTTGATTTTCTTCAAAGCTTATTAGTTCTTCTTATTATTGGTCTCTTAGACCTTTCAGAAAATACAGCATGAAAACATTTTGTGCACCATCTCAGTTTATTTTAAGTGAGAGCTATAGAGTTTTTTTGTTTAATCTCAGCACACTTTATAGCTACGATTTTAGTTCATAGTTTCAGTTGACTCTATTTAAGTTATATGAAATAATAATGTGTAATGTTTTATTTTACCAACACTTACTTAGTTCCCTTGGTTATTCTTATCATGGATGTTCAAGGCATTGTTTATCAAGAAAGCTATGGATTTTAGGAAACTAGGCAAGTAAAAAATATTTCCTGGTAGTTGCTCAAAGAAGGTGTTAATGACCAGGATGTTATCTAGGGAATGCCTTTTTATATCTACCTTTGCTTCCAGGAATTGTGTTTTTTATAAAGTTGCTGGTGCTTTCTGTTATGTGTACAGCTAACTCTTTTGGGACTGCACTGGCTTCTTAAGGAGAAATACTTAACACTCTTAGATTCCTCGATACTTACTATGCCTACTTACGTTAGAATCTGTAAATAGGAGTAGGGGCTTCCTGTCAGGTGTACCCATCTTGCTCTTTACTGTTTACCTTTATTTTTCTTTTTTTCTCCCCAGTTCTATTCAGTTTGAGGAAAGAAAAAAAAATTCAAGAATATATCACGAATAGATAATTCAGAATAATTAGCAAAATAATCTGACTATATCATCATAGGCTTCCTGTAGTTATCTGGTTCAATTGCCAAAATTCTAACGACCTTAGGCATCATTAATGGTGTATATTCTGAACTCTCCGAAGGTGGCAGGAGACAAGGATTGCATTAAAAAACTGGTTATAACAGTTTCTTCTGTCGTAGACTGTTAATTGGGATAAGGTGGAGGGAGAAGGGAGATGCCTCAATGATATTTTCCTGGAATTTAAAGCACAAATATTTTCTAGTCATCTCAAGATATAAAATTTAAAGAAGGCCAGGGAGAGAAATTTATGAGTTTTGTGCAAAATGGGAGGGAAAGGTAGATAGGAACCTTAGGGAAGAAAGAGTGGGGTTGGAGGAGAGAATGGGGAAGACAGTGGGGGAGTCATTAGTGAGAAACAATAGATACATGAAGAAGTGAGTTGCAGGGAAGTTTCTGAGTTGAGTTGAGTGGTCTCAATATGTGATGCAGATTTTCAGCAAATTGAAAGGGAAACTCAGATGACTGCTTCTCTTAAGATTTTACTTTTTTCTTATACAATATTTTGTATTGATGCAGTTCAAGTTAGACCTCTATTAGTGGATGAGGTGCTTTCTTATTATATTACTAGTTGGTGGACTGTCAAGGTTAATGGGAACTGTGAATGTAATTAAAATCTTTCAGCAGTAAGTTGCTGTTTTTTCCACTATCATTTATTTCCATTGATAAAACAAGGAGTGTTTAACTGTGGAAGGCTATTAATATTTGGCTTTCTTTTGTTGTTGTTTGTTCTTTTTTCTTTTTTTATTGTACTTTAGATGAAGGTTTACAGAGCAAACTAGCTTCTCATTAAGCAATTAATACATGTATTGTTTTGTGACATTGGTTGCGAACCTCACAACATGTCAACACTCTCCCCTTCTCGACTTTGGGTTCCCCATTACCAGCTTTCCTATCCGCCTCTGCCTTCTTGTCTTTGCCCCTTGGGCTGGTGTGCCCATTTAGTCTTGTTTTGTTGTATGGGCCTGTCTAGTCTTTAGCTAAAGGGTGAACCTCAGGAGTGACTTCATTACTGAGCTAAAAGGGTGTCCACAGCCATATTCTCAGGGTTTCTCCAGTCTCTGTCAGGCCAGTAAGTCTGGACTTTTTTTGTGAATTAGAATTTTGTTCTACATTTTTCTCCAGCCCTGTCTGGAACCTTCTGTTGTGATCCCTGTCAGAGCAGTCGGTGGTGGTAGCCAAGCACCATCTAGTTGTGCTGGACTCAGTATGGTGGAGGCTGTGGTACTTGTGGTCCATTAGTGCTTTGGACTAATCTTTCCCTGTGTCTTTGGTTTTCTTCATTCTCCCTTGCTCCAGACGGGGTGAGACCAGTGGAGTATCTTAGATGGCCGCTCACAAGCTTTTAAGACCCCAGACTCTACTCACCAAAGTAGAATGTAGGACATTTTCTTTAGAAACTATGTTATACCAATTGAGCTAGACCATGGTCCCCACAGCCCTCAGCCCAGTAATTCAGTCCCTCAGGGAGTTTGGATGGGTCTATGGAGCTTCCATGACCTTGCCTTGGACAAGTTGTTCTGGCTTCCTCAGTATTGTGTACTGTCTTACCCGTCACCAAAGTTACCACTTGTTTATTGTCTATTTAGTGTTCTTCCCTCCTACTCCTCCCCTTCCTCATAACCATTGAAGATTGTTTCTTTTTGTGTGTAAACCTTTTAATGAGTTTTTATAATAGTAGTCTCATACAATATTTGCCCTTTTGTGATTGACTTATTTCACTCAGCATAATGTCCTCCAGATTCATCCATGTTGTTAGATGCTTCAGAGATTCATAATTGTTGTTTATCATTGCATAGTACTCCATTGTGTGTATGTACCATAGTTTGTTTATCCGTTCATCTGTTGATGGGCACCTGTGTTGTTTCCATCTTTTTGCTATTGTTAACAATGCTTCAGTGAACATGGATGTGCATATGTCTACTTGTGTGACGGCTTTTATTTCTCTAGGATATATTCCTAGGAGTGGGATTGCTGGATCATATGATATTTCTATTTCTCGCTTTCTAAGGAGGCGCCATATCGTTTTCCAAAATGGTTGTACCATTTCGTATTCCCACCAGCAGTACATAAGAGTTCCAGTCTCCTCAGTCTCCCCACAGCCTCTCCTGTTTTTTTAATCTGTACCAGTAATGTCGAGATAAGATAGTATCTTATTGTGGTTTTGATTTGTTATCTCATTGTAATATTTGGACTACTTATATTCAGTGTGTTAGCAAGGATCACTAGCTAGGTCTAACTTATATTAGGAATTAGATCACATTCTGATTTCTAATTTCATATTTTTCCTTTATTTCAATATTTCAGTACCTATGTCTCACTTCAAGTAGGCATGGAGCCCTTGGATTAAAAAAAAAAAAATCAGCTTTTTCAGTGTTTTATTTACGAAAGCCCAATAAGGTTAAGTGACATGTCTGCCGTCTTTGAGGCAGATCAGGGAATTAAACCCAGTAGTCCCAAGCATCTGATCTTCTCTTCATAATAGCCTATCATACCCCTCAGCATTTAACTTATATTTTGATTTTTCAATATTAGGCACAAGCTTAATTTTAAAGTTACCTTCAGCAGTCTTTTGTAATATTCCTCAGAAACTAGAAGTTTCTCTAACAAGAAAGGAGAGTAAATGGGGAACCCCTGGCAGTCTAGGTATATATAATCTAAAGGAGCCCATTACAAGACTGAAATTTATTTAAATTCTTATGGTTTACTTTAAATTTCATGCAAATGTTAATACATCTGTGTCTTTGTTACTATAAAAATATTACTTCCTGTAATTAAAATTGATGCTCTGGAAATTTGCTTGATAAATCATCCTTTGGCTTCAATAATCCCTGCCACACTGAGGCATGACCCTGGGGTACTTGTATCCCAGTTTAAAAAACAGGGCTCTGGAGAAAAAGGATATTGAATAGGATAGAAAACATGAACTTGTGCTGAGTGCACATGGCTGTAGCAGGAGATTAAAAGCTGCTGTACAAGAGGGAGGAAAGGGGTGTCATTTACCCAGGTACCCACCTGCTACCAGAGGATTTCACTTGTTGATGATCTTCCAACTTATGTCTCTTTTAGAACACTGGTTTAGATAATATGTGCAATCTTCTACCTAATATTTCAGGGAACATCTGATTAAGAAAAGGAAGACAACAGAAGTCTGTATGTTTTTCCCATATCCCTATACCACATTTTAAAGTTTTTTTTTAATTATTATAATACATGATCATTGTAGAAAACATAGATGATCATAAGAAGAAAGTAATTAGTGGTAATCTACATCTCAGAAGAAACCTGGTTTGTTTTGTTTGTTTTAGTAATCATTATATTATGATTATGTTCTCATTGTTAAATATATTTAGACAATATAAGTTGATACCAAACAAACTCTGTTGCCGTCGAGTTGGTTCCGACTCATAGCAGCCCTATAGGACAGAGTAGAACTGCCCCACAGGGTTTCCAAGGAGCGACTGGTGGATTCAAACTGCCGACCTTTTGGTTAGCAGCCTGAACTCTTAACCACTGCACTTTCTAACAGGGCTCCGTATAAACTGATAGCTTAATAAAATTCTATTATATGACAGTTTCTTAATTTACTCAACTTTCCCTGACTTTTTACAATAAGGTGTAACCTGTTTGCTCTTACAAATAGTCCTTATCTCTGTTTGTTTGTTGTTGTTGTTGTTTTTTAATTAGAATACATTTCTAGATATGAAATTGTAAGGTGAAAAATATGACCAGTTCTAAAGCTCTTGATACAGATTGCCAGAAAAATTGTTCATTTTCCTGATCCCTTGACAGTATTGCACATTATTGTTTGTTTTATCTTCAATAATTTAATAGGGAAAATATGGTATAGCATCTTTATTTTAATTTTTGTTTCTTTAATTTCAAGCTAAACATATTTTAATTTCCTTTTCAGCTGTTTGATTTTCTTTCATGAATTTTCTGTTTTCTAGTCTTTGCCTGTTTTTTTTGTTGAGATGTTTGTCTTTTTCTGATTGACTTTTTGGAATTCCTTGTTTATTGAGACTATTGGTTCAGTGTTTATAAAGGAGCCCTGGTTGCACAGTGGTTAAAGCGCTTGGCTGCTAACCAAAAGGTTGGCAGTTCGAACCTACCAGCTGCTCTGCAGCAGAAAGATGTGGCAGTCTGCTCCTGTGAAGATTTAGAGCCTTGGAAACCCTATGGGGCAGTTCTGCTCTGTCCTGTGGGGTCACTATGAGTCGGAATCCACTGGACAGCAGTTGGTTTGATTTTTGGGGGTTATATATGGTGAAATTTTTTTTCTCAGTTTGTCACTGGACTTTAAATTTTGTTTTTTTACTTTTTTCCTTCCTCTTCAAATATATGCTTTTGTTTTTTAATATCTGGCATGATTTTAAAATGCATAAGTTTATGTTTAAGAACACATACTCAACCCTTGAATATACTAAAAAAAAAAATTGTACACTTTAAATGGGTGAATTGTATGGTATGCGAATTATATCTCAATAAAGGTGTTAAAAATAAAAAACAAAACATACTACGTGCCAGGTATTGGAATATAAAGACAAAAAAGACACAGTCCCTGCCTTCAGAGAGTTCACGGTATAGTGGGTCTTTTTACCTTTTTATTTTCTGCAAGGACTAGAGGTAGATTACTGCCACTCCCTCCCTGATAGTAGTGCTTATGTTGGATATATATAATTTCCTTTTTTCATTCAAAAATTATAAACACATTTAAATGTAAGTTAAAATAGTCTTGATGGAAAATAAAATTCTTTATTTTATACTTGAGATTATGCAAATTCTTTGAGAATTAGGTTGTAAAATTTACATTTTGCTTCATAGTCCGTTTATAAGTATTTTGGTCTTATTTGTAAGTGGAAACACTTGTTCACCTTATTTTGATGAATAACTTTACATTTTTACTCTTTCAAGAGAGTAGTAATTATGAAATGAAATATTATAAGAATTTATTTTTTTAACTTTAATAAATGAGCTGATATCAAAATAAATATATAGACGTTAATAGCTTTTCTATTTTCCCATCAATAACCAGTTCAAAATATAGTGGAAACAAATCTCATGCACAGTAACAACAGATAAAATATCTAGGCACACTTGTCACACTAATAGACTTATGCACATCCATATTCATTGCAGCACTGTTCACAATAGCAAAAAGATGGAAACAACCTAGATGCCCATCAGCAGATGAATGGATAAACTATGGTACATACACACAATGGAGTATTATGCAAAGATAAAGAACAATGATGAATCTGTGAAGCATCTCATAATATGGATGAAACTGGAGGACAT